CCTGAGGGAGCCGCCGCCGGCACGGCTCTGCCCCATGGCTTCCCCGGCGGCGGCGGGGCCCGGTGCCGCGCTGCCCCCGGCCGCGGCGCGCCGAGACTTCTACTGGCTGCGCTCCTTCATCGCCGGAGGTGGGTGGCCCGGGCGGGGGGCGGCGGGCAGGCGGACTTGCGTGTCGCTGTCACCGGTGAAGCTGCTGCCGGGTCTCATCACCTGAGGAAGCAGGGAGCTCACTTTTTCCTTTAATGGACTAACGCGGGCGGCGCGGTGCACGCCGGTGACTCGCACGTGTGTCAGAACGAGCGAGGAGCCCCGGTCAGCCGCCAATTTAATGTTCCCAGAGCTCAAAGCGTCGTCAGGGTACTCGGGAAGGGCGGGTTACCTCTGTCCCYAGACTGTTGCGGCTGATGTTAAGAAGATGAAGGTGGTGTGGAGAGGCAGCCTGGCAAACACAGCGCCACACTAGTAACCTCTTAGAGAAAAAGCCTATTTATTCTTCTTATAGGGTGTTGCCCGATTTGCTGAGGGTAGGCGAAGATTGTGTTTATTAAAAGTTTTTACACCATGCCGCACTCCCTGTTGGGATCTCTCTGAAGTAGTGCATGGATACACGGCAGACACGTAGCCCACCGCCTTGGGAAGATCAGCAAGGGCTGTTTCCCGCAAAAGAGAAGGAGGAAGCAGGATGGAAAACTCTTGAGTAACTTTCAGGAAAGTTCTTTCTGCAGTGACCTCAGTAGCTGAGACGGACAGTGGCCGGGGTTTTTGTAAACAGGAAAACTAGCTTAAATGTTTCATAAATGCTTCAAGAGCTCTGTAACATCTAATAGAAGCAGTTCACTTGTCACTGGGACTTTTTCCAGTTATTGAGTAAACTACATTAAAAAAATCCCTTGTTTAACTGATGGCCTAAAGAATTCTTTGCATCCCATCACTTTTCTGTTTCCCTATTGCAAAGGTGTTGCAGGATGTTGTGCCAAGACAACTACTGCACCACTGGATCGAGTGAAGATTTTGCTGCAAGCTCATAACCACCATTACAAACATCTAGGTAAGATGGCTGCTGTGTGTCTAATTTTTGGTTTTAAAAGCAGTGTGTGGTTTGAGTATGTTGATTTATTCAGTGATGAGGTATCTGTGTGGTTAGGCCCTGTGCCATGTTTTGTTACTGTTTGAAAAGAAAAACAAAGCCCTGTGTAAGTTGTGGTATCAGATGATGCTTTAGAGATAGAGATGTCAGAATAATCCTCAATAAGGCATGTAAGAGCTAGGCTTGATCTTCCTCTTTACAGAAGCCAGCAGGAGCTTGGTAATCACAGCTTCAAAGTGTGGATCATTTCAGTAAAAACTGTGCTGCAGTGGTTGCCAGTTCCCAGGGGCTGTGGGGGACCCTGCTTTTCAGGCAGTGGCACGGCTGGTGGGAACTGGGGAGAGCAGCGGGTTTATGCCTGGTGTAAGGTGCTCATCTGTATTCGGCATCTGTGTTACATCATGGTGAGAGAGCAAACTGAGGTGTCCAGAACTGTTCTCTGGGGGCTGTAGCAGTGCCATCTTGTGCAGAGYATTTGACGCATTTATGTCAAATGTTACTGAATGATGTTATAATTTTGCTCCAAAATGTGTTGCAATTGTCAGGGGAAAAAGAAATGTTTTGAGTTGCCTAATTTTGCATGTAACTAAACTTGTTTTTAACTTAGACACTAAAGACAATGTTTTTAAAAGCTGGGAAAATAAACCATATCATTAATTCATAAAATTCAGTAGGTGTATATTCACTGTGCCAAAAAGGGAAATACAAGCAATRTGTTTTAGTAACACAGACACAAGTATACAAATCAAATCTGAAGTCTAAGAATTGAAGGGTGAAATAATTGGTTTGAGTGAGATTTTAAATCCTCATTTTCAATTTGATTTGTACTGCTATAGTTGGCAAGTAAAATCTTATGTTCTTCCCTATTTTGGGAGCCAGATATGATTCTGATTATTTGAAATGTGTCTGACTTGGATGCATGTCCACGTTACGTGTAGGCAAAAACCAGAGAATTTTGTGGATGAGGTACCTGTAAGTGCAGAGACACGATGGGTYGGTTCATCAGAGTCCTCACTATGTGTTTTTATACCCTTGCACTGTGGAGTTGGTGCCACATGGATCTTGGAGCATRTGTTCTAGGAAATAAGAACAGTAACTCATTGCAGGATAGAGAGAATTCTAGTCTTGGCATAAGTAAGTTCAGAGGCATGTAATGAGCATGACATTTAAAAAATAAATTTACTATAAAATGCGTAATAATATATTAATATACAGTTATATGTTAACAAGGTACACTAAYCTATTCATATTCTTAGAACCCTAGAAACCAATAGATACTTGTTTGTTTAAGCTTGAAGTAACCATTTGTCAGCTACTCTTTTTTTCCTGCGTGAAAGCAAGATAAAAGTATTTTTCATGTTCAACTCTTAGATTTAGTAGTTGCATATGAATGAAAACTGTTTGATGGTCACAGTTAATTTTTTTTTTAAAATCAAACCAGAAAGTGAATTTGATAGCAACYGTGCATAACTAATATTTATAGTAAAACTATAGGTTTTGCCCAAACTTTGTGTGGTCTTGCATTAGTTCCCACCTATAAAAAGGGCATARGATTGCTTCTTGTCGTAACAACGCTGGGATAAAGAGTGTGAGATGTTTAAGTTGTAACTAATGAGAAGCTTCAGCTTGTTTACTTGGTTTCCTCAGTGGTGGTATTTAATCTCTAATTTAGTGTGTAGCAGTATCAGATTGTTTTGCCATGGTTTGAGACTTTAAGTATTTGTTTATTTTGAATCCACTGAATTGCAAGTCATCCAGTTCCCTCCCTCCTGTTGCTGGCATTAGCTGCTGTGAGTGGCTAGTGAKATTTGCAGTAGGGCTGCTCACAGTCCAGGCAAGTCCTGGAGCCTGAGTGCCGAGGCTCTCTGAGGCTGTGAGGTGAGAAAGCTGATAAAACTTAAGCCTAAGCCTCTCCCTTATGGCAATGTTTGAGCAGTGAAAGTGCATTTTGCATAGTTACATGAGCAACATGATGCAGCCTTAATACATGCTTACATTCTTATTGTCAAGAATATTTGCTTCATTTTTTGGTTCCTTTTTCACATTGTTAAATACTTCTTTTTGTATTGCTGCAGGAGTATTTTCTACATTGTGTGCTGTCCCCAAAAAGGAAGGTTACCTTGGACTGTATAAAGGAAATGGGGCAATGATGATTAGAATCTTTCCGTACGGTGCTATTCAGTTTATGGCATTTGACCAATATAAAAAGGTAGTTGAATTTGTTTTCCCTTTTTTTTTTTTCTGCCTGCAATGAATAGACTCATTGAGTGATTGAAACTAATACTGAAACTTTTGTATTTTACTAATTAGCTGCACGTCTTTCCTAAGGTTGCTTAATTTTATCAGAACCTACCCATTGCTTAAGGAAAAAGAAATTAATGCAGATTTCTTAATCGTTGTATTGCTGAGAATAAAATCCTTTCTTTAAATGAAAACAAAAGATAATTTAAAGTCTGCTGCTATTTGTATTGCTGTGAGCTAGCCCCTTGTGAATAATGTAGGAAAAAAGGTAAAATGAAACATCTTTATTGTATTTCTGTTGGGATTCGTAGTACTGAATGGATAGAATGACTTAAGTTTGAAAGCCTGTCTGGATAGGACTGTTACCTTTGTCCTAAAAAATTATTATGTCAGGCTGTAGATAAAAGTGACCTTGAAGATAAAAATGCTCATTTCAGGGTTCTGCAAGATTTGTGGCTTCTTTTCTGCATTTGCCTTTTTGTATTAAATCCTTGCAACATCTCATGGAGGTCAGTTGTTGGCAAGAATGTTTKTTTAAACGTAGCTGTTTGTGGCAAAAAATACTATTTTGCTGTGATCAAGGAGCAACTTCATGTTTGAAAGGTCACGCTTTAGTACCTAGCCAAGTAAATGGTACAATGTTTGTTGAAGACAGTGAGATTAATATTGTGATTCCCTTCCCTAAGAGTAAATTTCAGAAGACTGATACAAAGAAGTTATTGTAATGAATTTTGTNTTTTTTTTTTTGTGCTGTAATAATGAATGCTGTTGATCTATGCATGTTTTGTGTAGTGTGGAATAAAAGACTGACGTGCTTTATAATTGAAATGATTTCTGACTCGGCAATTTCAAGAATCCAGTTAGCATCACGGTACTTTCTTTTAGCTATTAATTGACCAGAAGCCTTCACAATGTTTTGCATGGATACGTAAAAGAAAAAACAATTCTTAATGGAGGGTGATATGAAATGATCTTTATAGCAGAAGGTGAAATAGTCTCAGTAATTAAAAATAATAAAAGCCTGGAAACTAATTTCTAATTTCCTTCCAGGCTGTAATTAACTTAGCAAGTTCTTGCTCTGAAATGTTTGTCCTTTTTCTCTTCTCCTTTTTATTTCTCCTTTTTTTTTCTTTTTCTTTTTTTTTTCTTTTAATCCAGTTAAAATCTTTATGGGAGTGTTTCATATGATGTGCATGTAAGAAAAATTGACTCTTCTTACTTTTCAACTTTGATCAGTGTCCTTTGCTATCTACAAGAATAGTATTCAGTTTGCCTTGTTTAACACACATTGATGATAATTAAATATAACAATTAATCTAGTCTCTGAAGTGAACAGTGCCAATACTTTCAACTCATTATTTTGCTTTGTTAGTAGAATTTTATCATTCTCATGCTTTTAATAAGAAATTGGAAACAGCAGCAGTGTTAAAAAATTATTCTAACAGTAATTAAATGCTCTGGATTGAATTTGTAGCATTGTGAACTTCTTGCAAACTGCTGCAGAGTTTGCACTAATGTGCTAATAAACTTTGTGCTGTGTTTTCCTGTATTTGCTGGTATCTGACTACTGTAAATGTTCTATATTGTGTAGGTAATAAAGAAACAACTTGGGATTTCTGGGCATGTGCATCGATTAATGGCTGGATCCATGGCAGGTATGGTTTTGTACTTGGATTTTAGACATGCCTTTTGCTGAAAAGTTAATATTTATTTAGAGAATGATTTGATGTGTTGTTGGGTCAAACTCCTGCAAATTTGTATTAAGCAAATAYACTAGTAAATGGTTAATTTAACATGGTTCCCTAATTGAAACCTGTTTGAGCATATGCTTATATTTGTGCAAGCAGTGAATTCTGTGCTATGTTGTAAAGCACAGATTTTTTTATAGTCTTTTATTAGGGCATTTAAAAAGTGAAAAAAAAACAGTGTCATCAAGGTGAAATATAAAGTTGCGGGTGCAGATAGAATTGGCTCATCAACCCCTCTGCCATTGCTTCTAGGTTGAATATAAGCCCACAGAAGTAGAGAGAACTGCAACTTCTTAAATGAGTAGTTTCTTTGGGTTTGCCAGAAATGTCTGTACTTTGCACGTTCAGTGCAGGATTGTCATGATCTCTTTAGATTGTGTGTGTGAAYGTTAAAACCTCTCATTTATTGATTAGTGCAACAGCAGCAGAAAAAGCCATCTGTAAAGTGCCAGCATATATATGTGTTTTTCTCTTAGTAGTCATTCAGTCAAAAGTAGCTAAGAAAGAACAGGGGAAGGTAAGTAACAGTGGACTGAGTTTTAATTGAAGTGATTCTTCATGTGSTTTTCCTTTGTGAAATAGCTTAGTACTGTCTACTGGCAGTCCTTAAATAGTTATGGGTATTCATATTTATTCTTTTGGAATAAAAATACTGGCATTTTTAATATTACCTTTAGTTAAACTAGGAAGACTTCATTCAAGTATTCTGGCATTKTGTGGTGTCAGAAGAAAGAAAATGAAATGAAACAATGAGAAGAGTCCTAAAACCTAACAAAACCTATTTGGAAAGATATGTTCCAGAACTTGGCTGGCTTTCTATCTGAAAGAAGTAAAAAAAATCCCTCTCCCCTGGCTTTAACTGTGTTAAAGAACGTTTTGCAATTCATTTTTCAACCCCCAAGAAGGTTATTATTATTAGCTTTTCCAGGAGCTTTGTCAGAGACTGGAAACCTGACTTGGGAGGCGCTGTGAAAACACTGAATAATCAGCTTAACTCTGTCAGTCTTGGATGTGCTGAAATTCTTTGCGTAAATAAATTAATAGCATCTGGCATTGTTGTAAGCACCTTACTGGTTAAATCTGGTTTGTGTGGTTAGAGTAACAGAAATAAATTAATATACAGTGCTATCTTGCAACCACAATCACATGAAGTGCTTTATGTTGTGTGCTTGAGTACAATATTACAATATAACATAGTTTCATTTTTAGAACCTCRGAACTGAAGAACTGTACTTGACTTGAGGGTGAAATGAACACAGCAGTCAAGTATATTTATAGTGTCACATATGAGTGTCTTAATATTTGTTTACTAGGTGTCATTAACTGATTCTTGGGATATTCTTTAGATACAAGAGACACAGGCTTTATCTTAAGTATATCAAGAAGATAGAGGGGAGGAAAGAGGCATTAAGAAGAACATGGAATTTGAAATCTGTTACAAAAGTTTTCTAGATTTGAAAACAAAAAAAGACTTAAAAGCAATTGGTACTATTTCTTGCTTTCCCTCCTGTGCTGGCTCCAATAAAGGATGTTTTTCTGTTTCTTCCACACTTAAACACTAAAAGAGATGATGTGCTGCACACATCCCAGAGTTGGTGCAGAGGGGTCTTCACAGTTTCATGGGACACAGTATTAAGCAGTTGAGAATAGATAACCTGTATTTCTTTTCACTTTTTGTCCCCTCTCACCATCTTGCCAGGCAGCTGTCTGCTTTCACTTCTGTGTACCGACTGTACTTCAGTCTTGCTTATGTCAGTGTTTCCAACATGACTAGTGGGCAACAGACCTGAATCGGCTTCAAAGTGGTGGGAAACATTTGAGTATCTTCTGTAAGTGATAAACAAGATCAAAAGCATATCCACAGGAGAAAACAAGGCAGCGAGGATGGGGGTAGTGGAGGGAGAGAAAAGTAAAACCTATTGTAATGCATATGTTTAAGGAGGCCAAGTTAAAGTTACTGTGGAAACTCTAACTCTGAATTTCCTGAGTCTTGTGTGATTCAAATTTCAGCTGTAGCACCTCATTAACAGCTCAGTAGTGTATAACTGTATTTTCTTTTAAGCAAAGACAGAGCTGGGCAGAAGAGAAATCATAGAGGTTAAGGGGGTTTAGGAAACAAAATTATCAAATAACAAAAATGAACAAGTAACATTAAAACATCACAGGATTATTTTTTCAATTTTTTTTTGTTTTCTAATAGATTCAAATTAAAACACAGAAATGTGTATTTCCTCTCCTGCACTTGATTAACTTCAAAATAGCAAAGTCAAAAAAGATGTTATCTAGAATATACTCAAGTTCCATTAAACTAATACAGAAAGTATGTTTGTGATTTAGCTTTTACTTTTAGTAAAAGTAATTGAAAATAGTACTATGTGGGAAGATATTGGCTGTCACAATTTAAAGTGGTATTATTAAATAGGTAATTAACAGTTACCTACTTCAGTCAACATGAATTGTCTGTTTCTTTGAATGCATTGTGGAGGGAAACAGTTATGTATTGGACATATGTAATTACATAGAAAYATTAGGAGTGGTAAATTAGGCATTCTTTAACCTGTCTAATTTTTTTCTCATCAGAAATTTCTCTATATGTAGTTTCTGAAGCTTCATTTTGTTCAGAAGATGCTACTTGGATAATTTTATATTAGCTAAGGAGTAAATCTGCAGTTCAAGGCTGTGACTTGTGCTTATCACTTTTTGAACTGTATTCCCCTGAATCTCTTGGCAGTGYTTAATTTGATCTCTGGAGCTACTGATAAAGTACAAAGAGCATGATACAGAGATCATTAAAACTTGCATGCTAGCTACATTTGCAATGCCTGATCTTTGTAAATGTATTTCACTTGTGRTTTTTTCTTGCTCCAGATTTTTTGTTTCCTTTTCCAAAGAAAGAAAATTACTAAGAATGGAGGAATACTAGGGAAATTGGAAAACAGATAAATCCCTGTAGAGCTAATCTTATTGTTAGCTCCCAAAGCCTGAGAAGCAAATCAAGGACAGTCTAATGTGCTTCACTGTCACTAAGTCTTAAGTCTGTGACACCCAGTATCTTGTCCCCAAGAGCAGTCAAAGGTGCTGGAGGACAATATGGGAAGTGGTCTTTCTCTGGCTTCTGAGTCAGCAATTGTGAAAAAGTCTGCTGGTTTTGAGGAAGGGGTTCTTTGAATGAGGGAGAAACTACATTCCCCTATTATGATTATTTCAGATCAGACAGTGGGAATTGCTGTATATATCTCTTAACYATTGATCTATTTCCAATTCTGTCCTGTTTAACCAACCACAGGAGAGATTTTTGGCTTAGCTATCATTAATGGGGATAGACTTTGCTTTTTCAAGACTGGGACTGAGCCTAAAGATGCTGTGGTCTGACTTCTCTTAGCATTGTATTTAGGGAGCAGAGGTGAGATCAGTAATTTTGTAGACTTCACCACAATGACTTTGTGTCCCCCAGCTGGTTGCCATTCCTGTCAGAAAGGATGGTGTCTCTCCTGAGCCCCAAAGGAAATCTTGATCCTTTGTGTGTACATTTTCCTTATATGAGTAGTAAAGCTGTAACATGCCTCTCCCAATTGCTACAAGACAGCATATATTGTGGCTGATGTCCCAAATCCCCCTTTTTTTTTCTCCTCAGAATTCATGGCTAGAGGATTTTCAGAAAAAGTAAAAAAAAATTGTTTGTTTAAATCCTTACTACATCTGGTTTCTTTCAGTTTCATCTGTTCGGGTTTTTTTTTCCAAATTTTACTTTTTTTCAGACAGTGTTCACTAAATAATGCAGTCACCAAGCTCTTAGTGAAGAGCTATTTGCTAGTCCTTGTTCAGAGGAAGTTCCTGGATAGATATCAGTGCATGATTGGAAGAAGTGGGGATAAAGTCTGTTTTCTGAAGTAGGATGATTTTCCTGTGTACTCTTAAGCTCTGTAAAAGTGCTTTTCCCCTCCTGTTATTTCAAACTGCTTGAATWAATCTATTTGTGATATTTAATCTGTAATTAGTGATAATTTGTGATAATTAATCTATTTTGTGGTATTTCTGGACATCTCAGAGAATCTGTTAGGAAAAGGCTGTAGACTGAGGGATTGYATTTCATGTAGGTCAGTGGAAACAGTCTTGAAGTTGCTTTACCSTTTTGCAGCTTCCAACTTTGGAATCCTGTGGGTGAGACAACATCAGAAATAAACTGCAGATGTCTGCTTTTTGTTTAGAGGACTTGTCCAAAATCTTCAAAAGAGGTGTTTTTGTCTTCTAAAATGAATTACTGGTGGGATACTCCAGAAACCCACAGACTTGGCTCTCAGTTGACAGTTGACCAGTACCAGATTTTTGGGATGTTTTTTTTAACTCACAATCTAATCCTGATACCTTGTTTCAGATCATTAAAGTTACCAGAGTGGTGGTGTTTTGGTTTGTATTTGGTTTTTTTTAACTCTGGACATAAAAGTTATGAAGAGCTTGTTTGTAGGAGTTGTGTTTGGGCTTGTTGTTTGTGTTAGGGTTTTTTCTTCCCTCTCTTATGAATTTCTCTTGAGTTTGTGGAAAGGAGGGGAAAGGACACACCTACAAAAAGATATCATTAAGAGGCTATTAAAACTTAAGAGGAAGTGACAATTTCCTGCTGGAATAAAAAGTATGCTTATCTTTTCTAGGACCAATTTTTAAAAGTTGTATTTAGCTAAATCAGAGCAGTTGCTAGAAAACAGTGCAAATTACAAGGGTATTTACTTTTTTACTTAATATTTCTCCTTTTCTCAGTTTTGCTTCGTTTTGCTTTGTTTTTTTTTGGTGACTGTGGTGTACCATCAGAAATTGACTGCTGTTGTTAGTCAACAGCTTTAACTCTTCCCTCCAAGGAATCTGTCAGCCATTTAGTGGTTTACCTCAAAACCTAGCAGTTGGAAAGAATGTGTTATTCAGGTAACTGTTAGAAATATTTTCTGTACTGGAGCTGTGTTTGCAAAATTACAAGGTGGCCAGCATTTAAACAGTTTTGAAGCAGCTCATAACTGGATGGGTCCTAAGGTTTGATTTTTTTTTTTTCTTTTATTTTACATTTGAAGTTCAGAAATAGCTTTTCTGCTCAGTTTTAAAATAGAATTGCTGGTGTAGCATGAACTATTAAAATGCAGTCTTGCAGCMCAGTTAAGTACTCCTCATCATTATGAACCTGTTTGTATTTTAAATGTAACTAGAGTATATTTAGTGTGTCATTAGAATGTGTTTAGTATTTTCAGATGCAGTAGATAGATACATGTGTCTATACCCAGTAAATCACACCAAATTCTGACAGAAGCTTTTTGAAATAAAACATGTACGTGTGGTAGTTTGAAATTTTTTTTAATATGGTAGGATTAGATTTCAGGGTTGCAATCCTGTAAAGCTGATGCACTTGACTAGCCTGATTCTTTGGAGGTATGAATTTCTATAAGATTGCTCAGGTGAATGTGGTCAGGCCCATAAATCTTGGAAAGTCTAAGCCTAGGTGTGCTGCTTCAGTGAACACCCAAGTGCAAACATAAATCGTTTGTATGTTGCTGGAGTTAGTGTTCCTGTTTACTGATTCTAAGTGACTGAAAGTGTTTCTTTAACAAAATAGTTTGTATGTACTATTGTATTCACTGCCAGAAAAGGAAAYTCGACTTTTCAAAATAATCCTAGAATCAGATAAGGTGTAGGTGAGTTTTGTTTGCTTGTTTTGTTTTTGTTTTTAATAAAGGTATTACAGCAGTGGTTTGTACTTACCCTCTTGATATGGTTAGAGTTCGTCTGGCGTTCCAAGTAAAAGGGGAACACAAGTACATGGGAATTATCCATGCATTCAAGATGATTTACACAAAGGTATTTTTTCTTTTAATCTTCAGTTCTGTCAAAGCAAAATATGCTCTTTACATAATGTTGCACTGCATTGAAAATAATGGTTTAGTGCAAAATAACATTACTTCATTGCGTGCACTTTGAATTTTTTAATGTAAAAAAATATTTGGATGCTGCTTTTGACTTAGGCTGCTAAGCTGTAGCTAAGGCTCCTGTAACTGGGAGATCAGAAATGGCAGAGTTGTTGCTTTTCAAGAAAAGTAGTAACATTACCAAAAAGATTTGGGGAGGAGGGCTATGTGAAATGCGTAAGTGTCTCCAGTTACAATGTTGAATGTAGGTTTTTCTCCTTCATTTTAATTTATTTATCTCCTATGGAGCCAGACAGTTGTCCCTTTGAATCTTGAGGCACAAGAAGCAGAACATGGCAGTAGCTCATTGGCAGTAGATGATGCTAGTCAGATTGCTGTCGTGGGAGTCTATGATCAGTCGTGTAACTTAGGACACTTGTATTTCTTGCCACAAATGCTGCTGTGTTTTTCTTTCAAAGGAAGGTGGTTTTAGTGGGTTCTACAGAGGGCTGATGCCAACTGTGGTAGGAATGGCACCATATGCGGGTAAGTTAAAAACAGAATGTGATGGTCCTTCAGCAACTATGTGCACTACTAAATTTGTTTAATACATTTGCACACCTAGTTAATTAATTTCTTTACAAATCATCCTCAATGACGCTCCTTAAAAAGTGTCTTCAATAGTCAAAGCTTAGCTTTTCTGAAATTTGGACTTGTGACTGAGAAAGGTAAACTGGTGGTTGTCTTGTGCTTCCCAGTTTTTCCCTCAAGAAAGCATGGAGGCTGTTTCTCTCWGTCAGGGAGACCCATGGGAGCAGGCGGAGTGCAGCTTCAGAGCCTCCGTGTTGGCTCCATCTCCTGGTGGCTTTTCTGTAAATACTCATGCATGCACAGCAGCAGTGATGTGGAACAGAGGAGCAGAACAGCCCAGCTAAACTGCACTCGCTTTTAAAAGCTGAGACATGTCCTTTGGTTAGAAGGGTCTTAGGAGTATTCTTGACAGCAATCCAGTAACTTAAAACCTGCAGCATAGCTTATTTAAAGCATTCTTGTAGTGTTGTGTATGAACAGAAATTCATTTGGACAGAAATTACTGTAGGAATTCAAAATATTGTTTATCTATTTCTTTCTTTCTGCTTAAGAAAAARCTTGTAAAAGAACTGGAAAATAGATTAATTTTGTAAATGCAGCTTTTTGTTTATGATGATGATACATCCACAAATAATTTGCTTTTTAATGAAAGTACATAAAATTAAATTTCCTTTTAGGTTTTTCATTTTTTACCTTTGGTACCTTAAAGAGCATTGGACTTGCTCAAGCACCTAACTTGCTTGGACGGCCTTCATTAGATAACCCTGATGTCTTAGTTTTGAAAACACATGTAAATCTGCTGTGTGGTGGCATAGCTGGAGCAATAGCTCAGACGATATCGTAAGTGTGGGTATTGGGTTGCTTTTCCTCTCTATAGCTGTTCATTCTAAAGAAACTTTTATCTGATACAATTTTATCTAAGTCTGGTTATTAGTAAATAAAGTTTTTTAATTAGTTAATCAAAAACTGAAATTCWGGTGCTTCCTATTATTTCATTTGCTAAATATCTATTATTTAATCTCCAGGATCTTTTAAGACATATGCTATGAGTCAATTAAAAAAATTCAAATCAACAAAACAAATTTCCTAAAATCCACTGGAATCTTTTTTGGTAATAATCTTATTTCTTAGCTTGTTTGGTAAGCTAAGAAATTTTGACCTTGAACATAATTTGCAGAATTTTATTATTCCAATTTACTTTCAAATCTATGTAACCTGTAAAGCCATAGGAATAAAAAGAAAAAAACAGCCCAAGTCTTAGATATTGTATTTGGGATTTTTTAAAACTACTTTGCTTGCTTTTTCCTTTCTCATGCTTTCCTTGTTCCATTTTATTTTGTCCATAAAATAAGTTAATGTAATGGACTTAGATGGCATGGATTTTTCACCAAATCACTGCATTGCAAATATAATTGCCTGTTAATCCTTAAACTGTTAATTTTATTTCCAATGCAGGTGTCTTCTCCCTTCAGCATTTTACAGACTGTTTTATACTCTCATCTGATCTTCATGTGTCTTCCTTACTAGTACCAAATGGAATGTATTAAGCTCTGCTTTGCTGGTTTTGGTTTTGTAAGGGAAGTCTACCTTTTTGRAGAACTTTCAGCTATGTTGAGAATCTAAGCTGGATTCCTGACTCACTGCAAAGGGAGCTTASAAGTTGCATGTGGACTTCTTTGTGTTCTTRTTTAAACAATCTTCAAACAGTCATCACACATCTGGTTGAACTGCTGTTTCAATATCTTCTCTGTAGATATCCCCTTGATGTAACTCGTAGGCGAATGCAGTTAGGAGCGGTTCTCCCAGACTCTGAAAAGTGCCTGTAAGTATTTCCTTTTCATCTGTAGTAACTGCATTCTTGGATTTCTGAGCTAAGTCCAGTTCTTAATTTAAAATTTTAAAAATAAGAAAACACGCCCCCCCCAACCACTATGTTCTTTCTTTTARTGAGGAAGTTTCCACATAGACCAAAGTTTCCATTATCAATCTAGGATTAAATAAAATAACTGAAATCCCCATGGCACCCTTGTTAGTAATCCTGTGTTTGTATTAGTAATGTGTTTTCTTTGTATTTTAATGCAAATTATGCTAGCTTTAGTATCAGCAAGATCTCTGAGACACTGCATGCTTCTACTGAAGTGAAATAATTTTGAAGTGTGTTTTAATGGTGCAGAATCTGTTCCATAAGACAATTTTGCATAATACAATTTTGAGCTGTTTTTTCACTTACAGTAATCTCCTGCACCCTACACACTATTGAGGTTCCTCCAGTAGATGTGGAAGCATCATAGTAACTTAAAAATAATAATAATATTAAGTCAGCTCTCATCCTGAAAAACTTTGTGTATTTCAAATTGTCTCTATCAAATTCAATTCTGGGACAGTTTTCTCTTGGTTAATTTCAATCTTGTGGAATTGTGTATGCCTGAATCCAGTGCAATTCAGTGTGAACCTCCTGTGTGGAAGGTTGAATCTTACCAAGAGTAGCCTGAGTGACCTCTCACAAACAACATTGATGTGGCTTAACTGTGAAGGATCTGTTTTCTTTAGCAACCTCTTCYGTCCTGCCCTTGGTTATTTTCCACTCCTGATAATTTTAAGATGAAAATTCRTTCATTGTTCTTGGGTTTTTACTTTCTGCATTTGTGAGGACTACTTTTACAGACATGAGGCTTCTCAGTTTAACCATTTTATTGTGACCATGTAGAGAGCTGTGCCTTGAAGGAGAGACACATGTATATCTTTAGAGGATGAGAGGATAAAACAAGCRGGAAGTCTTGAAGCTTTGGAACATATGGAAGATGTGTTCTCCAAGAGCATTGTCTTCAATAGYTTGGAAGTACCGAGCACCTTAAGTGCTTTGCATTTAATGTCTGTTTGCTCTGTTTCAATACAAGTATGTGAGGAAAATTATCTTTGCATATAACTGCAATTTCTGCTTCTAGTAAGGTCAAATGTTATATATTTAAATTATTATTATTTGTAAAAGGAATTGATGCTTCTCAGTTCCTTCCTGCCAGTTAGGCAAGGGAATATGTGGAGCCATTCTGGTGTGAAGTATCTTAATACGTCTTGTAGGGCTGTTTTTTCAGACTGATACTTGTTTAGCTGCGACTGCACTTTCCTCTTTCCAATTCCCAGCCCTTGTGCCCAAATTTCTTGCAGGAGCTCAGGTTGTCTTTTTAGTCCTATATGACTTTACTATGTGGAATACCATGGGTCTCCATAGATTTTTTAAAACCCAACTAAAAGTAGCATCTTGTATTTAATAAAATTATTTTGATATTGAATATGTGTATCCACTAATGATTTGAGTTCTTATTTTTCCAGTACAATGGTGCAGACACTGAAATACGTTTATCAACAACATGGAATACGAAGAGGACTATACCGTGGTTTATCCTTAAATTACATTCGCTGTATTCCTTCCCAAGCTGTGGCTTTTACCACATACGAACTKATGAAACAATTCTTGCACCTCAACTGATTCTTTCCTTTAGAAGGCTTTTCTGTAAAAACTACACTATCAATCTTCAAATGTTATTGATGAGTAAATTACTTGAAGTTTAAAAAAAGYTTTCTGTTACTGTGGACCTGCTGTTGTCTGACATCTCTATTTGCCAAAATGCGGTTAATTTCCTGGAATCAAACCGGRTGACACATCAAAAGAAACAATAGCTAGCTCTAAACACTTTTTTTTTGCACTTGAACTTCTAGGCTTCATTAAATGAATTTTAAAAATGATGCAGTTTTGGAGATGATACCCATGTTCCAAGCTGTCAGTTATTTAGCTTTATCACCATTCCAGGAGTTACATGCTGCTGATTATGCTGCTTTTTAAGCTAGAAATTAGGCATCTGTTGTTCTTTGAAAATGAAATKGAATAAACTGATTAGAACATAACAGAATGATTTTGGTTTTCAGATCATTGCCAGGTCTGTAGAAGCTGTAATCGACAGACCACAATTTAAGCAGCCTTTTATTCTTTTTCTGTACAAGTTTGCTGTATGCAAGAACAATGCATATGTCCTTCGGATGATACACAGGAAAGTCCCTTCAACCATTTCAGTAAAAACCAGCAAGATGTATTTAGCAGTATTAGAAATMTTGCAATTTGGAAACCAGTTTTTTGGCATACATTCTATTCTAAGAAATGCTGTGCTACACAAATAAAAGGTGGGGGGAATTTTATAAGCATGAGTGCTAGAAAATATGTCCTTGTGTCAGGTAACAGGGGCCTAATCTTATAAGGCTTTTCTGTGGAGCAGAATGTYCTTGATTTGGTTTATTCAAGGCTAAGTATGTTATGTACTTTCCAGTACTAGCTGGTGTAAACAGGATTTTCTCTACCATAAACCATGGTGACAAAGAAGTCTGCATGCTGCTGCATTTACTTGCTTAGGCATTTACTTGCTTAGGCATTTACTTGCTTAGGCATTTACTTGCTTAGGCATATGGACCATATTCAACCTCACGCAGAAAAGAAAATTAAGATTGTATTGGAGTCTGTAGGTGTGTGTATGTGCTGTTGCTGAAGTATGGTATGCAATAGACTATTGCATGTTTTCCTTCTCCTATAATTCCTTTTCTRGAAGGAATTATTTTATACATGATTTGCATTGGTACTCTTGATTTTACTCACTTGATTCATGAAACTGTAAAGCATTTACTTCATGTAAGTTATTTATTTATTGTAAATATTTTAGCAGTGTCTTCTAAGAATTGGCAATGGTTATGTTAAATGGTGGATGTTAAGATTGATTTGCTGAATTTGGACAAATTTAACAAACTGGATTTTGAGTTATGTATTCAATAACAACTTCCCATGGCTCAATTTTTTTCCCCCCAGTTTCTTAAAATATGTATTTCTTTGAAATTTACGGTGTAGCTATGGACAGAGAATGAAATGTATTTGGATATATTTTATTAAAATTTTTGAATTTATGTCTTTGTGTGATTTGTATGTGTTGTAGCCAGAAGGAACATGTTTCTGGAATTATCTATGTTTGCCCTAAAAGGTAAATACGCACCACATTGTCCTTCTTAACTAAGAGACAACAAATACTGTTTTTCATCTGATCTTTAGTTTTACATAAAGGAAAGCTAACCAATATCACAATGAATTTTTACATATTAAAGTTCTTGTAGTGGAGATAAAATCACTGTATTAGGAAAASAAGTGCCTTTCTTTTCTCTGTATTGTTTTACTGTGTGAGCAAATAAGCATCTTCTTTGATGCCAGTTCTTTTCATGTGAATACTGTTAAGTATGATTAAATTTGGAGGTTTACATCTTAATTCTGCTAAAAGGGATATATTTGAGGAGTGTCATGATAAGGTAATCAGTTGTTATGCAGAATAAAGCAAAACTCAGCATGTTCACCCTTGAGAGGAAAAGAACATAAAAAGTGTCTCCTAAATCCTTGAGTCTGGTATTGAATGTGAAAACATACTTACTCGATGGATCTGTGCTCTATTTTCTATATTTTTAATATTTATATTAAGTTTTTAAAAATAAAATTTAAGAGAGTATGCATAATCTTCAATTTGAAAGTGTTATTAATTCCTGAATTTACACAGTTAAACTTGGATAATGCTGATTTTATCTTTAAATTGTAAAAGGTTTTCACAACCACTGATGTCAGAAAAAATTAAGAGACAAATCCGAACACTTGTGTCCAACTTTTTACACTAGGACTCYTCCTAGAGGTTCCCTGGACTGGTTGAATTTTAGATAATTTCAAAAAGGTATTTGAACAGTATTTTGGACTTGTTACACATACTCTGTTTTCTTTTCTGGTGTGCRGGAGATACATAGGCAATGTTAGACTACAGAACACAAGTTTAGCAAGTGTACAAAACATTTGTGTAATCTCTTAACATTACACCAAATTATGACGACATTTAATAGTATCAGCATGGAACTATTAAATTATAATGCTTATTTTAGAGGATAATGTTGCAATGGAAAGCAACASTAATGTAGTTTACCCATGTATTTCAGGACTATCCCAAAGAAAATAGAAGGGGCTAACTTAATGTTCTCACCTTTTAAAATTCATCAGTTTGAACTTGATGCTTCTGTTGGGATATGTAACTATGGGCCGAAACTGTCCTCGTTGCAGCAGAGTGAAACCTACGTCTATGAAACTTCGCTGTCATCTCAGAAAGCCAGCGACAACACATCTTCATGAGGGAAAAGGTTAGACTCTCAGGCTCTGATGGGCCCATGAGCGAATTGGGAGCAGAAGCACGTCTAATATTACCTCATACCACCACACCGGTAGCAGAAGTGGGGTCGGGGATGGGACAGCACTTGACAAAGTGGAAATAAACCCAGTGCAGGGCAGAGACCGAGGCCCTTTCCCCTCAGAGCSCTCCCCGCCCCCGGCGCTCCCTCACGGCTCAGGCCCCGCCCCTCCCCGAGCGGTGGCGCGAGGAGCCGCGCGCCGCTTCGCGCCTTCAGCCCGCGCGCGCGCGGCCCGCCCCGCACGCCGCCTCCCATTGGCCGGGCCGCGCGCGCTGGGCGGGGCTCGGGCGGGGCTCGCGGAGCCCGCGGCAGTGCCGTGAGGGCGGCGGGAGGCGCGGGGTCCAGGGGAGACGCGCTCGGTGGGCTGTGCACCGGCCCAGCGGCTGAGGCGGGACGGGCAGAGCCGAGCCCCGCACGGGACCTCCTCATGGCCCAGAGGTAGCGGCCGAATGCGGGGAAGAACAGCTGGGCGGAGGCGGCCGGGAGCGCGGGGATTTTGAATTTTAAAACCGCTCCCGGGTCTGCGCGCGGGAAGGCGGGATGAGGTCCTGAGGGCTGAGGGGCGACAGCGGCCTTCCTCAGGATGGGGAAGATGTGGGAAGCGCTCGGGCTTGCCGGGGATAAGCGGTGAGGGAAACCCGGCGCTGCCGAGTGGGTAACGGGTGTGTGCACGGCGGCCWGCGGGGCCCCGGTGTGGGCTCTGCCCCCGCCCGCCCTGGAGCTCCCCCAGGCATCGCTCGGTGGATAGGACACCGGCAGGTTTTGCCGCTCTATCTCATGTTTTGACTATTGGAAAACTGAACCTTGAATATCAGTTTTCTAATCAGCTTCAGCTTAATGGGTAATATGTTACTGTTCTGTGTTCGCGGTATTTGTGTGACTGTGGGAGTTCAGGCATGCAGGGAGGCTGAGAAGCTTTCTCACAAGCACAGGGTTTGCAGTACAATTATAATTAATTAACAAGTGCTTATGGATATGTGGATACAAAAATGAAGCAGTAGCTGCAATAAATAGAATATTACTTAATATTTACAAAGATCTCCTACATTCTACCTGTACAGAGTTGGAAAAAAAAACCCAGAAAACATTTATAAAAATGGAAGAGGTGTAAAATTTGTTTTATATTTGAAGCTTTCCCTCTTTTTGTGTGTAGGTTGGCTGTTTTCAAATAGTGTAATTTGCTTTGTAATTGGCTGTTACTTTAGTTTTCAGGAGAAAGTGGCTGCCTCACCTGATACAATCYTCAGGAATGGGCTGAATAACAGATACCGTGTGCTGGAAGTCAATGTAATACAGAATAATGGAAGTGATCCTGAGAAACACTTGACAATAACTGCATCCCCCTCACTTGAAGAGACAGAGCTGTGCATTCTTAGGGATGGCTGGTAAGCCATACACKTATATAGATGTTTGAAAAGAGAATGAAATACTGGATTATTATGTCAAATTTCTTTGTGTTGTCTTTGCGTTGAGTTTTACTGCCTTAAAAGTTGTACAGGATTTTGAAACAATATTTAATGTAATATTATCATTATGCTAGCATAATAGATAGTCATCTTGAGAGAACTGATGTCAGGTAACTTGTGGGTGGGTATTTCTACCTTGCAGTTTTAATTTGCCTTTGTACTAACAAACAGCAAGATATTCTAAACAGACTATTTTGTTTAACTGTTTTGCATTATTTAGAAGTGCTCTTCCAAATGATATAAGCTCATTGTCAAACAAATTTTCAAAGTAATATCTCTAAAACACGAGGGGTTTATGCAGGCTGTTAAAATCACCTTAGCTTGAGCTCTACTGCAGAAGTTTTTTTCAAGTAAGGATAAGATTCTAAATTATGCATTACATGGGAATTGCAGAAGAAAAGATTGGACATTATTTTGAAACACAAGGGGGTACGTTAGCTATCTGGCATTGCTTTTCATTCTTTGTCCAAGACTGAAAGGTGGGAGAAAAGTATAAGACTTCATTGCTTAATAGAAAAGACATCAAAGATCTTGAACCCTGAAATTTCTAAATCAGAGTACAAATACTTTAAGATTTTGCTGAGTTTCTGAAACAAATAGGATTATTAAGTAAGAAAGTAGATTTTACATACTGCAAATATAGTATGCCAGTGTAAAACATAATGGTACTGAAATGGCTCATGAATCTGGAATGACTTGAAGCCAATAGGATTTCTCTACTTCTCTTATTTGCCAGTAAAAATGCCTTTTTTCTCTTTCAGGATTTTTCTAGGTCAACTTCTTTAAAAAACCCAATCCAAACCCTCCTGTTTCAAAGAATGTTGCCTCTGCTCTGTTAATGTGTAAGGTCTAATACATTGTGTCCGTTGCTTGCAAATAATTGTTTCAATGTGCTCCATTGCAGGGAGTCTGTTCCTGTTGTTCCAGGGGACATTGTTCATTTAGAAGGGGAGTGCTGCTCTGGCACCTGGGTCATAAATGACCAATGTGGATTCCTGGTTCTGTACCCAGACCTGCTGCTTTCTGGCACTACAATCTCAAACAGCATTCGCTGTATGAGAAGGGCAGTGCTGAGTGAACGCTTTAGGGTAAGTGTTCATTTCAGAGTGTCAGTGAGTTACTGCTCTATTGAGACTGGTGGGTTAGCTCAGTACTGAACTCTGATGCTGTTTTGCAAAAATTATTATTAGCTATTCACAATGCTTACAACATAGAATAATTTGGGATGGAAACTTTTTCTGGTTGAACTTCTCTTTTTTTTGAGAATAATTTTGCCTGAAATAATGCAGTATTGTTAATACAGCCACTGGGCTAAAGAACTGGTCTTTCCACCTACAATTCTGTTAATTTTTTTGTCATTTCTTGCCACATTTTGTGGGGATATGAATGCTTTGTGAGTGATGTGCTTCTTGCCATTCATATGAAAACATAACCACCCTTCACCAAGGTAAGAGCCTCTGAAACATTTAGTGAATTCAGTTAGTAACTGGTGTGGGCTAACTCTGGAATCTGAATACAGCTTCTGGATCTTGGAAAGAGGAGAAGTTTCTTGTGGTAATATCCTTGCTGATATGTAAGTACTATGCTGATCAAGGGAGAAGCAACAGCTACCGGTTTCAGCTGATGAAAACTTACAGACATGGTAGGAATAGAAATGCAAATGAGTAAGGAAATTCTAATGGAGTTGCAAACAATCTGGGTGGAAGCATTTGGCAAAATAAGAAAATTAAGTACAGGAGATTAAAACTATGAAATGGTGTCAATGCTATATTAGAGGAGTAAGGGGAATAGAGTTAAGGTTTGAGACAATGCACAGGGTCCTGACTYGGATAACACCATCTGCCTGTTGTGAGTGGAATCCACAAGTGACTGGCCTGCAAGAGATCATAATACCACAGGGTTTAGATTCCCAGTCATTTGGTGGTGACTCATGTAGACGTTTTTTACTACCACTTTCAGTTCTTGTAAGTCTTCAGAGCCCAGCCTTGCCRATGGGTTTCTGAGCCATTTTGGTGMTACTTGGAATGATTTTCCTGTGAGCTGGTAACAGACAGCAAACTGCTTCATGCAAGAAGTATGTGTAAGATTGTAAAGGTAAGTATTTGCATTAGGAAATGCACACAGGCAACATTTTGTCAAAATTGATATTAATCTGTTCCTTTGTTTCCCACCTGTCATCATGTAGGGATTATATCCTAACATTATCAGGGTTGGGATAAACATGAGAGATAAAGCAATAGGAGAGATCCTTTCAATGTGGCTGCTTTCACATTCAGATYTGACTGGATAGTCATTAGTGAGGTGAAAGCTCTCATGATCTCACAGTTAAATAAGAGCRGACCATGATGTGCAGAAAATAAAACCCAGAAATTTAATGGAAAAGTTGGCATGAAGTGGGTGTAAACCTTTGTGCATTTTAACATCTGTTGCAGAGCTCCGAGTCTGGTTCACACCAAATGCTCATTGGTACAATTCTTCATGAAATTTTCCAGCAATCAGTAACAAATAACTTGACACAAGAAAAGGTACAAGAACTAGCAAATAAAATTGTGTATGGACAAAAGTATCTCAAAGAAATGTAAGTAACATTACAGGTCTTTTATATTTGGAAGACAAGGTGGGAACACTTTGAACTAGCAGATTTAGTTATACYTAAAAAAATATAGCACTGGTATCAGGAGAGTATTCTGCCAAATGACTTTGCCTAATGGAAATTGGGTATCTTTTACTAAAATAATTCCCCATTCGATAATGTAATTTAGTTTGCCTTCCCTGCTGAGCTACTTCTATAGATCTAAAATAGTCTTTTGGAGTAAATGTATGTGTCAGGAGGGTTTTTTGCTTTCAGGTCAAGCAGGTTGCAGTATTTGTGTCTGTAACACTAGATTTCCAGACATCTCCCAAAGCTGATTTGAATGTGACAAGCAGTTAAATATGATCCTCATTAAAACCTTGTGACTGACCAAACATTGAATGTCTGATAATTTCATATCTTTATTAGGTTACTTAAAGGCTCAATTGTTAGAAGCCCCAAACAACTCAAAAGTTAAAGTTGTWGTGGCAAGATTTATTGCTCCTAGTTCTGGTAATATTTTGAATTGTGGCTGCTAAGATTACTTAAAGATCTTTATGTTCCTCTGGCCTCCAAGAAACTGTTAATTTGCAGTTCCTTTTTGCACGTATAAGCTAGTGTTTGTTTGGGYTGAAAAATACATTGCATAAATCTGCTGCCTGTGGTCATTTGCACTCATATGAGCCTTTTTGTTCAAAATCCACTTGTATTTCCCTGTTGCTGTAGAATAATGACATTATTTCCAGTGACTGCCAGCACTGAATTATTTAATGCCACATGATTAGATTCTGTYGTGTTCTGTCAAAATGTATGTGAAGAGCAAGGAGCAGATGAGGATATTCAAACAAAAAGCAAATGGTCCTTCAAATTATCTTTTTCATTGTTCCATAAATTATATGACTAGCCATTTTTAAATGCAGGAGTCTTGTGCTCCTCTTCTGCAGTCAAACAGTTTTGTTTCATCACATCTTGCCATGCTGATGCTATCACTGTGTTGTACCTATTGTTTGAAAAGTTACATCGGAAATGGATATTTTGGTATAGTATATCTCTTGTAATAGATGTTCAGGTAATAGTTTTATAAATTGAGCTGAACCTCTATGAAGCTGTTATTATGTAAGTTTATAGATATTTATGAAAACTTGACATTACTTCCATTGATCTTGTTGCTACTTGAGGCAAATCTCTTTAGTACCAGCAAGAAATTCAACACTTTTTTTTCTGTAATGTGTGTGGCTTTGTTTTTCAGGTATGTCYTAAATCTGAAACAAGCACAAATAATGCAAGAAGTGGAAGAATATTTGCCATCATTTTTTAAATGGGTGGAAGACTTTATGCACAATCCAGCAAACCAAAATAAAATGCAACTAAAACTGTAAGAAGCCAGAATTGAAAGTTTAAACCATTCTATGTTGTATATCTTGTTTCGTTCACTTTTAATTTTTAGAACTTCTCATGCACATTWGTGTGCATGTGATTTGGAGTTAATTCATGGCCTCACTGACCATAGAGCTGATCTTGTGCTGCGTGTTTAGCTGTCATTGTGAGTACGGGGCAAGACATGAAGCCTGAGGGTGAACTGACTTGAAAATCTTACTGATCTTAAAATTCTTCTGAACAGTGTGCTACAGACTAGAGATTTTAGTGAGTAGAAAAGCAAACATATTTAAGCTGCTAACTAAGCTAGGAGTTACTTTAGTTGTGAGCAAGACTACAAATCAGAATGTGAAACTGTTGATCAAATTAAATTCTTGACAATTTGTGAAATGGTGATTTTATTCAACTGCTGCTGAGTTGTTTTTGTCTATGGCTTCTTGCTGTTAATTGTAATAACCACAGGGTGTTAAAGTGTCAGTGAAATGGCAGGTCTCAGCTAAACCTGTATATTACTGTCAGGTATGTATCATTAGCCTTGGAGTGTGGTTATTGAGTAAAGAGCAAAATCTATTAAAAACAATTTAMAGTCTTATTTTAACTTTGAAATTTAATTGAATAGCAAAACTACAGTTATTTTCTGATATGATGCTTCCTCAGTTAATGGGAAGATAGTTTAAGTGAGGCTTCAATGCATTTTATTTCTGAAGTTAGTGCTTAAAGGGCACCTATAATGCAGAAACATTGTATATTTATTGCAACACATTTAAATGTTTAAATATTAAGAAYTAAGGGAAATTCTTAAATTCTGGCTTAATTTTCTTCCTAGGTCAAATGGTAGAAAAACAGAAGATGTATCTTCTAAGATAGAGATTGTRGATATCTTGGACATTGAAGAGAATATCTGGTCTCCCAGGTTTGGGTTGAAGGGAAAGATTGATGTTACAGCCAGGGTGAAAATTCAYTGCCCGTCTGGAGTGCAGTCTCGAATAATGCCTTTAGAGCTCAAGTCTGGCAAGGAATCCAACTCCATAGAGCACAGAAGTCAGGTACAAACAGCAATAGTCTAATTTCACTGTCAGTGGCTGTGTGTACTTTTCAATTAGGTGACCTATTTTGTTTTATGAATACGAAACACTTTATATGTGGTATAATCTAAATTCCTGGATGGTTCATCCTGGCATGCCCAAAGCTGCTGGTATAAAATGRAAGTTAACTGAGTAGTGAGAAGTATATACAATTACCACTTTCAAACACTCTTATGAGTTTTATCCTGAAATATTTGTTCTTCAGTCTCTTCTTACTGCATTTAAGTATTAGGTTGAGGCAAACTGTTTTAGGAATTAGTGTTGTACTTATTTCCAAATAGCTGGCCTGACCTAGAGGGGTAGTAACCTTTTCATAGGCTTTTGAAGATGCCTTTTAATTTAAATCCTTGTTCAAGTTCTTACTACTTACAGCTTCTAGAATACTTGTGATAATAATGGCTGTTTAGCCATAAAAATGGAAGAACTAAATACAGTTTAGAATGTATTTTGGTTTTAACGCTGTGCTGGTTTTTGCCTTGGATAGAGATAATTTTCTTCACAGAAGGTAGTGTGGGCTGTGTTTGGGATTTGGGCTGAATATTTGGGCTCTGTGTTTGATAACACAGAGATGTTACACAGAGCTTACACAGATTCAAGGCCTTTTCTGCTCCCCGTAGGGACACACTGGGGAGGAGACTGGGAGTGATGGGAAGCTGGGAGGGAACACTGTCAGGACAGAGGATTCCACTGATCAAAGGGATATTCCAGACCATGTAGCTGATCCTCATGCTCAGTACAGAAAGTGGGGGAAAGAAGGAAGAGGGGGGGATGTTTGGAGTGATGGAATTTGTCTTCCCAAGTCACCATTCCATGTGAGAGGACCCTCTCTCCTGGGGATGGTTGAACACCCATGGGCAGCAGTGAATGAATTCCTTGTTTTGCTTTGCTTGCAGGTGTGATTTTTCTTTTCCCTATTAAACTGTCTTYATCTCAACTCTCCATGAGTTTTCCAGCTTTTACCTTTCCAATTCTCTCCCTGATCCCTGCAGTGGGCAAGTGAGTGAGCAGCTGTGTGGGGCTTGGTTGCTCCCTGGGGATAAACCACGACAGTTACGTTGGAATAAGTTTATATGTGATGTTTGCAGGTTATTCTGTACACATTGTTGAATTTAGAGCGGAGAGTTGATCCTGAAGCTGGATTTCTTCTTTATCTTAAAACTGGTACGATGTATCCTGTTTCTGGAACTCACATGGACCGAAGAGGTAAAATTGYTCCCCTTCCCTGGAAACCATAATGCTCTTCACTATTGCTAAAATCTTTCTTTTTAACTGTAAGATTTACTTTCATAGTAAGAACTATACTTGGGGAATGCATCACTTGTTATAATCATTATTACTTCTAAGAAGCTTATGTTAAAAACTCAGTTGTTTTATTAACACAACACAGAGGCTTTGCTATGTGAATAATCACTTAGCTGACTTAAAACTTGAAAAAGCTGATAGCTAATTACTTTTGAGATAGAAATTGTTGCAAATGAAAACATCAACTTAATTTATTCTTTTCTTGGCAGAATTAATGAAGTTAAGAAATCATGTGGCCTTCTACTTAATGCACAGTACCTATAAAGCTGGTGTGGGAAGGCAGCAGTCACAGCTTGCTGCTTTGCCTCCTGTGGTTGATGACAGTCAAGCATGTAAATATTGCTCCCAACTGCACAACTGCTTTCTATACAGCAGGTAAAAAAAAGTCTGACTGTTTTAAAATGACCTTGAATAATTGTATCTTTTGTTACAATAATTTCATTTTTGTGGTTGACTGTTTTGTATACTTCTTTATTGGGGACTCTTGCAGCCTGAAARAATCTTCCACAGACCCCTCTCCAACTTTTATAATTCAGCTCCTGGTCTTGCATAGACTCAGTATGTTTGCTCATGTACACTTTCTACAAGACAAAATCTGAGATAAATCTCAACAAAATATTTGATGACACTAACAGATCTGTTAAAACAAGCTGTATTCTTGCAGCTCTCTGAAAGAAGCAATCTTTTGGGCCTGAATTCTGGCTGGGCAGCCACTTTTTCAGGTTGACTCTGTASATGATTGTTTCCCTGTAGGGTATCACACAACTTCTGATACATTGATACCACCCTTCTGAAGTGTTCTTATATCTCCTGTTAAAAAGAAGTAATAAGCAAATACCTGATAAAATTTCACATAAAGTTATTCAATAGTTTTAACAACTGTTACAAGTTTTAGTCTCTATGCTKCACATAAACCAAGCAAAATTGTATATGGAAGAGATCAAATGAGATATGTTAGAACAAGAGAGCCTTTGGGGTGGTCTTGTGTAAATAGAATGCCTGATTGTTTTTAAAATTCTAGGGGTAGAAGTGTATGTTGAGGGAGCTTGGTGGGCCTATATGATATGTTTCTGTGAAATCCTATTTCTAATACTCAGTTGTTACACCAACAGGATTATGGTTGGGTAGCTATTTACTTCTGAATAAGCTTTTCTTTCTCTCTGTGTTTTATGTATATATGATTGGGCATAATGTCTATTGATATTCAGTTTTGAAATAAATTGACTTGAAGTTTGCTTGTRTATTAGCTATTAAATCCCCATTGCTTAGCTTAATATCAAAATAATATTTGTGTGTTACAACAAAAGGAGTAAAAGATCGACTATRTAAATGTATACATGCCCTTATTTGGTCTTTGATTAACTTATTGCCCTTCAAAATCACAGTTTATATAAAGTTACTAATATTAGATTATGCATCTGAACAAGGATACAGATTCAACTTCAAGTAATAGTAAATACATCTATCTGGTATGTAATGGTCAGTATTTAGATTGCTGTTTTGTACATATGGACTGGTAGGAAAGCAAGGATTCAGGCTGAGTCTTTCCTGTGTTTGGTTCTCTTCCTAGAGCTGTAGAGCAGAAGATGGACACTGTGGCCTTTCCTCCTTCTATGGTACCAGTTATTGACAGAGAGACCCAGCACTTGAAACCCTCYCACTTGGAGTATTTCAGCCTTTGGTATCTGATGTTAACCTTGGAGCTGCAAAGTGGAGAGCATAGAAAGGGATATAAAAATATATGGATGATACCTTCTTTGGAAAGGTAAGGTATAATTTCTATCCTCATGCCAATGATGCTACATTTCTTCCTTCCTTTTGGTCGTTTGTTTTGTATTCTGATTGTGRGTGGTACATTTTTTACCGTATGGGKTTTTTTYCTTAATATTTCTCTTACTGAGAGGATATTAATATTAAAATATTTCTTTTTTTAATATCTTCAGGGAGAAGGCTGGCGATTGTGTTGGAAACATGATTAGAGTTGATGAAGTGCATGAAATTTCTGAGGGACAGTATTTACATTTCTTCCAACGAAGAAGCGGTGCCATACCTGGAAAAAACCTGTTGGTTGGTGATCGAGTGGTTGTGAGTGGAGAGGAAAAGGGTTTATTTGGTTTGGCTACTGGCTATGTTAGAGAAGTCAGTGGAACAAAAGTCTCCTGTTTGTTGGGCAGGTAATAGGATATAAACAAAAGTATCTGTTTGCAAACACTCTGGTACCGGCTTGAGGAATGTACTGCTGGGTGTCCAAAAAGCTGTGTCATATCCTAACTCTTCCTACTGGCTTTGGGTTAGCACCCTTCAGAAATTCTTTTGTCTTGATTGAAAATGTCAATGTATATGCCTGTCTATTTAAGTAGGTTGTTTGAATAAAAGCACATTTAATTTCTATTTGCTTATTCTCTAACATGAAACTATGTGGATGCARTGATTACTGTGTTAATAGTAACTTTAATTATTCAGTTCATATTCTCTTTAAATTTCACTTATGTTTTATTATCTCTCATTAGCATCATACTTTATTTAGATCAGTTAATATTGTATTTCTGTTAGCTATTGCTTCATTCAGGGGTCTATTGAAGATATCATTTAATATAAGTCTTTAATCAACATACTGCTGGTAACAGAATTATTTTATCCATGTTATTGTCATCCTTCAGGAATTTGTCAAACCTCCCCAAGAGCACCATATTTAGGTTGGATCATGACGAAGGAGATGTTGGTGCAGGAGTCCCCTTTGAAAATCTTTCCAAATTGATGAAAGATTCCCCAGTCAGGTATGAAAAATCAAATTAATTTCACTCTCTCAATGTTTTCAGATGATGTTTGTCAACTTGTAACTCTTAATTGTGACTCTGTTTTGTTTTATGCACAGTGAAAGGCTCCGCAATTTGATAATCGATTTCCAGAAGCCATGTTTTATTCAGCACTTGAGCTCTGTCCTTCCTCCTGAAGCAAAGGAAACTGTTGCAAATATTTTAAAGGGTACAAAGTGACTTTCTCCAAAATGCTTTGTTTAGTAGTATATCTCCAAAGTATTTGTCATGCTAAATATAAGGACTTTTTATTACTTTGAGATCCAGTGATAGTTTTCTGCTTAAAAATGAAAACCAGCTTCTTACTTTGTATATCTTTCAACTAGTTGAAGACTAATTTGATCAGATACTTGTTTACAACTTTATTTTACTTTTGTTCATTGCTGCTGCATGCAGCTGCAAACAGTGCCATATGCTTTCCTCTGTAACCTTTACCAAATCAATGAACAGAGCTCTTGGGACAGAGGAAGTTGACYTTGAGGGAGAGGAAGGAGATGGGCTTTAGTGTCAACATTCACTTGTATAATCGCCCTTGCTGACTTGTTGGCTGCTCTGTGGTGTGTAATGCTTTGTGGCACTTATTTAAAAACAAAACTTCTTAAGGTATGAGGCAGTATCTTGTATTTGGTGGAAATACTCCCTTCTTCTCTGACAGAGCTGCCTGTGAAAACATAAATTGAACTGAATTCTCTTATAACAAATTAAATTTTTTATAAAAACTCAGTTGAATATTATTGCTTGAGCTTTGCCTAGTCTAAGTAGCTGAAATGTGCTGCTTGTTTGCATCACATTGGGGCAAACCAGCTCTGCTGTAATGTTTGTTCTAAACAAGATACTGCTGTACTTGTAACTCATCACCCTTTGCTGTGGGTGGTCATTTAGGATATTAGGAAAAAAAAGTCACAAAAGGTCTAAAAGTAAAGATATCTTAGTGACTTTTTTCTAGGATTGTAGTTCAGACTCTTTACTACTTATCTTGTGTATTATGTTTATTGTCATGTGTTCATGAGATCCTACAGGCTTTGCTTAGTTTTTGTCTTTATTGAGGGCTTTAGCAAAGGAGGAAATTGTAGTTTTGCTCTAACTTTAGTAATTATTACGATTTGGAGGAAGTGTAGTAATTTAATTTTGCTTTTTCTTCTAAAAGGTCTAAATAAGCCTCAGAAACAGGCAATGAAACAGGTGCTACTTTCAAAAGACTACACACTTATTGTGGGTATGCCTGGAACAGGAAAAACAACTACAATATGTGCTCTAGTAAGATCGCGTACCTTGTTATTTAATTTTTGGTGAGATTTAGAAGATAACATTAAGCCAACTGTGTAGTGTCATGACTTAATTTAATAGTATCTATATAATTTCAAAGAAGAAAAAACTTATTTTTGCTTAACCCATATTTGGTAGAACTAAAATGGGATTTTGTGTAGTAGGATGGTCTCTTGCTTGTGTAGGARCATATGTGGGAGGGAGGACATTGAAGTGTGATATTGAATCACTTCTGTGATGCTTCGATGTTAAAATTCTTCGGTTTCAAATATCAGCAAGTCCTTAAATCCTGAGTTACAGCTCAAAGGAGGGACTCGTTGAGAAGCCAGTAACTTGTCCATTGTCAGTTGTATAAACCTGAGGGGCTGGTACAGCCTGCTACCATCTCCTCTAGTTGGAGGTTCTCCTTTCCCCAGGAATGGACTGTAAGAGCATACCTGTGGTTGTTGATTTTTGTAGATGGACCAACAACTTCTCCTTTTTTTCCCCTTTGCCACTCRTTAGGTGAGAATTCTTTCTGCTTGTGGCTTCAGTGTCCTTCTGACCAGTTTTACACACACGGCTGTAGACAAYGTCCTGCTGAAGTTGGCCAAATTCAAAGTGGGTTTCTTGCGTTTAGGCCGAGCTCAGAAGGTTCATCCAGATATTCGGAAATACACAGAAGAAGAAATCTGTAGGTCCAAATCAATTAAATCTGTAACAGATTTGGAAGAGGTCTATAACAGTCAGGTGAGAAAAATGTGTTTTGCTATCCTTGCAAATTAGTACAGATAATTAAATTAGTATTTTGTTTGAATGCTGCAGAGAAGGAAGCCATCCCAAGGGTGGATCTGAGCTGAAAGATACTCAACCTCTGCATTGTTTCAATTTCTTTATAGCCAATAACGAACTACATTAAGTCTGAAAGTTAAGAAGCTTTGTTTATGTCCACACAAAGTAACTTATCACTGTAAGCAGTAAGTCCCAAAGACTCCAGTGCTCTTATCTGACATCTTGTGAGAGGGAGTGGGCTTTTGAGTGGGCTGCTACAGCCTCCTTCAGCATTATTCACATATTGCTGCTGTTTGTCCCTTCTCCCTCCCACTTGTGCTCCTTGTGCCATYAGTACAATCAGCAGATGGGGAAGAGGAAGTGGAATGCTGTGGAGCTGACTTGGACAAACCCTTATTTTTGATTGAAAGATTAGTGCTGTCTGTGTGAATGTTAATGCAAACCATAATGAGAGCTGGGTCATATGAGTCGGTGGCAGCTTTAAATTAAATTTACTGGAAAAATAAAGTTTGATGGCAGTTGGAGTAAATGCCAACTTCATGAAAGGTGCCATTTACTTTTTATTGATAAGCATTGCAGGAGCATGACTGAAGTCATAAAGGAAATGACTTAGCATTTCTTATTTTAGTCAGATTGTAGTGGAAGCACAACACTGGGAAGAACTTTGCTGCCTGTTGTTGTTTTATCTTCTCTTTAATATTGAAATAAAAACCCCAAACCACACAATTTTTCACAGTAGTTATTTCAGCACACTCCATGAATTGCACATGARCAGAACCTGGCATCACTGAACACATGACAGGAACAAGTTGTTTTCTACAGGCTGCTTTAAAGCTGGTTTTGTTTGTCACTTGCAACTGATGAAAGAACATGTCAGGCTAATATATGTCTAAGTTATGCTGGTCTGATTTCAAGGATTAATAATTTGATTTCTTTGATTTTACATTTTATTTTAGTTTAATGCTTTAGTTTAGTTTTTCTTTCATCATGGGGAACATAATGCTGAAGTATACAAAATGTACCTTTGCCTTAAAGTGTGTCTCAATTTTCAGTCAGTGGTAGCAACGTCTTGCTTGGGAGTAAATCATCCCATCTTTGTTCAGAAGCAATTTGATTTCTGTATTGTTGATGAAGCTTCCCAAATAAGCCAGCTCATCTGCCTGGGCCCWCTGTTCTGCTCCAAAAGGTTTGTGCTGGTGGGGGATCACCAGCAGCTGCCGCCCCTTGTGCTGAATGCAGAAGCAAGGTAAGAKAAAATGCTTCTAGACAATTAGTAATGAGTTCTGGGAAGGCTCTTGCCATATTCTGACACACTTTTGGTTTTTGTTTTTGTGTTGTAACAGAGATCTTGGCATGAGTGAAAGCTTATTTAAAAGGCTGGAACAAAACCAAAACGCTGTTGTCCAATTAACTGTGCAATACAGAATGAATAGGTACTTCAAACTTTTATTTATTACATTATATTCTTAATGTGGGSTTGAAATGGCAAGGTTTTTATGCCTTTTCTTGTTTTTTAAATCTTCAGTAAGATTATGTCATTGAGTAACATGCTAGTATATGAAGGCAAACTGGAATGTGGCTCAGAGAAGGTGTCAAATGCCACTGTTAACTTGCCCAACCTAAAGAAATTGAAACTGGATCTTGGGGATGCTTCAAAAACATGGCTGAAAGAAGTCCTTGATCCAGACACACCTGTGTGTTTTCTGAACACGGAGAAGGTAAAGTTCATTATGCTCTTTCATCATTGTATTCTGAGGCAAGTTCTCAATACAGTAAACATGTAAAACTCCAAGCAGCTTAGGCAGGGTAAAACAGGGAACTTCAGAAAGTGGTTTTTTAAGATTATGTAAAGTGTGCAGCGTACAAAAATGTTATTGGTGTTGGCAGAGGTGAAGCATGGATAGTACAACTGCTGCTGGAAGCATCACATCTGAGAACAGCTAAAAACTTTAATTTAGATACTATTTCAGAAAATGTTGAATGTACTGTGCACTTTATTGTCTGGTACAACGTAGCTCAAAGTGCGTAGCCATACTGAAWGTCCTTGCAACCAGGGAATGGCCTTAATTCCAGCAGCTGAGGCTCAGTGGTGTCAGAGCTGTGTGCCACTGACAGGAATAACTGGAACTCTCCATGGAATTTTGCAGGCATGCTACACTGAAGTGTAAGGGAGGAATAAGTTTGTTTAGGTGTGTCCTTTCATGGAAAATCAAATTTTTGCTGGAAAAATAAAATTCCAGAGTGGATAGAAGTTCTTCAGAGAAACTGACTTGCAGGAAAAATGAGGAAGAGTTTAAATGCGTGTGGAAAAAGATTAATAAATTAGTACCTATTTGTGGTCTCTAGTACTTGTAATTGTTGATTGTGTTATGATTTGAGTCTTTCTTCCTCACAGGTTTTATGTTAATTCCTGTTACATACTGTCTTTTGTCAATAATTATATCAACTGATGATCTTTTATGCTGACCCTTTTATGTTGACTTGGAGCTCACTAATCTTTCTGTGCTCTCTATGACATTGTATAGGATTCCTATTTTTTATAATAATTCCAATAGAATCTCTTCAGTGACCTAAAAAGCAGCAGTGTTTACTTTGACAACTTAGAGAAATTAGTAAAAATCTAAAGTAAACAGAGACATTTTCCAGGAATGCCTCGATAGCTGCAGTCCCTTTCCCAGGAAGGCAGACAGCTGGTCCCAGGGAAGAGGTTTGTTAATAGGAAACTGACTGAAACACTATTCATCTAGTAATCATAGCAAAATTGGTAATGGAAAACTGGAGTTTCTGTTCCATATCATGCTTTTTTTCCCTAGAAAGCCCATCTCAAGTGTAAGAGAGCTGTCCTTTTCCTAGAGCCAAGAAGAAATTTGTTCTCTCCAGAATATTTTAGATTTGTTCAGATATGAGGCCATAATGTTGTTTATTCTTTTGGRCTTCCTAATAGAACTCCATGTATTGTGTTAGTCACAGAGGGGGAAATGGAAAAAGCCAATGAACATGACAACAAATAAAACCAGCGTTTATCTTCTTTGACTTCATAGTGGGTTTTTTTCCCTTGTACTCTTTATAGTGTAACCAAGAAAAGCTTATGAAGAAATAGACCTGGGGGGAGGGWTGCAAACAGGGAGAAAGAAGAGGAAAAAACACCACGACACCACCAGGAAGCATACATTTATCATGCTCGCTTTTTATAAAAAGAAAAAAAGCCTCTTTTGTTTTCTGGTTAACAATGCAATGTGTTTGTGACAGCAGTCGAAAATCTATTTGTTTCTTTTCTGTCAACCCCTGTGTCAGTCTGCACTTCTCTGACAGCTTGGGGCTGGCTGTTGAAAAATGACATCCTTGATTTAGGACAAGTGTCCTGAGGAATTCCAGGCCCAAGTTGTTTTTGTTGGGGGTTCTGCTGGTGTCCTATGGGAACAGGTGAAATATGAATGTAAGCATGTGTTACTGTAAGCATGACACAGCTTTTAGAACTTCTTTCCTAAAGTGGTTTTTGTATAGTTTTTAGCTCCACTTATACCAGTTTGTATAGAAATTAAGTATCTTTAAAAGTGCTGTTCTGCTTGAAGAACTTCAGAGCTTCAGCACATGGTGTTTAGAGTCTTCCAAACATACATTCATTGCCATTGATGCTGCTTCAACTTTAGAGAAGGCCAGAGCCAGGCAAAGAAAAAAAAATTGCAAAACTGTGATATCACAATGCCAAGARTTTACATCCTGAGCTTGTTCCTGGCTTTTTGGTCTCATTCATTTGTGATGTAGTGAAAGGGACTTAAGAAATGGTAAATTCTGTGAATACTGTATTTGAAGTCTGGGAGTTCAGTTTAATACTACCGTTTTGGTTASTTCTTGCTGTAGTTTTAAGTGTAGGCTTTCAAACATTTAAAAAAATAATCCTYTATGCCATGGAATGAGGAAAATTCACTGTAAATATTGTTGTAGGTATGGAAAGCATTAAAACAAAGGTCCCATGTAAAATATAATTTGCTGTCTTACTTTATCAGCTGGAAAATGTCAATTTTTGGGTTTTTTGATTTATGATTTACAATATGTGAACTGTCAAGTCAGAGGATTAAGCTTTGGCAGTTTCTTCAGGTAACCAGCTAGTACTAGAAAACCATTGTAGGGATTGTTCCAACTTGTTTGCAAATAAAATATTCTGAAGTTACTTCACTGCATAGGCTCTTCTGATCAGTAAAATCGACCATTTAATCTTATTTTTAAAATAAATACTATTAGTATAAATACACAGTGAGTTAGGGACAGAATATAATACCCATTATAGACAGCAAAAGTCATTATTTTCTGTTTGTATTTTTAAGGTCCCAGCYCCAGAACATGCAGAAAAAGGTGGCATAAGTAATGTGACAGAAGCTAAAATAGTRCTTTTCCTCACATCTTTATTTATTAAGGTATCTTTTACTTTACTACATGGTTTGGAGAGAGAGCTTTATAATTAATTGTTTTTAAGTTGCTTTAGTAATGGTGACTGTATGTATTGGGTTGTTTTTTGGGGATGATCTCAAGGATAAATTGAAGATTGGCTGCATGTTAGTGTCGTGAGGAGCAGTATCTGCATTCCCCTGCCTGGCTGGATTTGAGATGCAAACAACAAATGCTGGATGCCAAATTCTTTTAAGAGATGAGGACTTTCTTGGGAGGGAGGGGAAAGGATTTGCCTTTGTTCCTTATTTCATCTAGTCAACTTCAGGAATAATACAGTCTAGSAGCTCTGAGTTGTTTTCCTTGCAGTTTAAAGAAGAAAGAAAAATGAGGATTTCAAGGATATCTGTCTTTGTGCTAAGTTAAGACGAAGCTTGGGACCTTGCAGTAATTGATGTTTTCTATCTTCTTTAGTTAATACTAGTTACACCCACAGTTCCATTAATGTAGATACAATACCTTGCAGCACTGTTTTAAAAAAAATTGAATTAAAAAATCCTTGATGGTCTTCTGCCAGTACTGAATTTCCCAAGCCAACTGCAGTGATAATTTTTTTCCTGTTTCTTCTTCATTCAGGCTGGCTGTAAGCCCTCAGACATTGGCATTATATCACCATACAGACATCAGCTAAAAACAATCACTGATTTGATGGCAAAATGGAAGGAGAACAGAGTGGAAGTCAACACAGTGGACAAATACCAAGGAAGAGACAAAAGTATCATAATTGTGTCTTTYGTTAGGAACAGTATTGATGAAAATGTAAGTTGTTCATATTAAGTTGGTTTCAGTCAATTTTAGTTCAGATGCATTTTGAAAATGAGGGGTTTATCTACATTAAATAGGAAAACCAAAAGCAAGTGCCATTTGTTTAACAGCTGGGCAGCCTCCTGAAGGACTGGCGCCGCCTGAACGTTGCTATCACAAGAGCCAAGCACAAACTGGTCATGGTGGGCTGTGTTCCATCCCTGTGCTGCTATCCTCCCTTGGAGAAGCTCCTCTGCCATTTGCAGTCCCAGGCAATGATATCCTTTTTCTSCATGCTGGTTTAGGAGAGGGGAAAGGTAAGACTGACTTACTSAGATTTGAGGTAAGAATGGGAAGATCTCTGATTATTTAGGTTATACTTTTAACAGTGATTGGCAACACAGCACAAAATGTGCTGGTTAAATTTACCAGCAGTATACTTAGGATCAAGCTAATGGATGGATTTAGAACATTTTCTGTCTTCTGAAGTAGAAAAAAATAATGCTGACTTGCAAGTCAACTTTGACATTTTTTTATTTTGAGGCCTTAATTTTGATTTTTAATGCTTTTGCATTTTTTTCCTGCATTCATCCTAGTTTTTTGGCATCTTAATGTCGGTGTGATTACTTTCTTCCACTTAACAAATCTGCCTCATGAATAATCTTGCTGGAAAGGAAAAGAGTGTCACTTTCAGATGACTTGGTATTTTTTCTTTCTCTCTGGCATCTTACTGAGTAAGCTTTAGCTATTGCTGCTTCCATCTCCTATTTAAACAGGAAAGAACCTTGTTAGCTGCTTTCTTTGCAAACACCAATGCATATTCAAACAGGTTTTGTGAAAGTAATATGTTGTCAAAATGCTTCCTTAACTTGTTACATCTTGAATCTTCCAGCTGGGGCTCATGAAAGTATCCACAAGTGTAACATCTTATGAGTGTGAAGATGGACAGTTTTCCAGGCATTTGTATCTTTTTTTCTGCTATTGCTTGATGTAAATAGCAGGTTCTTGGGGTATCAGTGCTGGTGTGCACTGTTCAGTCTGTAGGAAGCCAAAAGAGGAAACATTCCATTATTTTGGAAGTTTTCTTTGAGTAAAATAACACACATTTCTTGAATAAGCTGATGGTTACAGTGCTACTAAAGCACCCAGCTTACTTGTGACAAACCAGAAATATGAAGCACTCTGTTCTTTCCAGTACTGGATATTGCTGTATTCTCTTTTACCTTGATGAACAGTTATCTGCATAAGTGAGTGGGGAAACAGTTGAAGGGAGTGTAAACCAATGTTGCATTGAGTCACAATTTTCTGGGCTCTGTTTGGTTTTAAAAACTTGAAAATGTAGTTTACATACAGTAATTCCATTTATTAGACTTCCTAATTAAGGTGCTGTTTGGAAAAAAAAATAGGGAAAAACTTCTTCCTTTTCTTCAAAGCCTTACAATCTTCTTTGAAATCTACTCCTGTTTCTAAAAATGCTGTTTTTTATATTTATATACATAATGTAATTAATCTCTCATGTGATGATCTCTTGATGACATTTCTTATCTCCTGATTTTGCATACCTCAGGAAGAAATGYGATGCTGATTCATTCAATTCCCTGTTATCAACTAATGTGTTCAGCAGATCAATTAAGTACTAACTACGAAGTGAAATGCTACGTAGTAGCACTCACTTTTCAGTTTATCTGATCTGTAGTCTTCAAAACAAAAAATTCCCAGGAAGCAAAACTAGAGATGCAGCTTCCTGACTAAGATTACATGCTCAGGTTCTATTTTGTTAAAGATGATGGCATATGAACARCAGGAAACATTATTTACCTGAGAGATCTGTGTTTCTTTATGCTACCTCATATTCTATACCAAAGAGACTGAGAAGTTTCTTTTCACAGTTGCTGGTGGAAATGTGAATTGTTTTGATTCTTCAGAATCATTAGCATTCTCTTTCTCTTGGATCAATGTCAATTAGCTGTGTGCATATAGTTGCAGACAAACCTGTTAAATGTGGCATTTTCACGCTTTTAAACTGCTCTCTGACTTTTTCTAACGTTTGAAATAATAAAAGTTTGTTGTTGGTTTTGTTATAGTTGTCGATACTTCGTTAATACTTTGCTTTGTATGGGCAAGTATTTTAAACAGTACAACAATAACTGGAATAGTTGACAGGATATCCTCCTTTTTCTGGTGAAAACACTTGCTTATCACCTGTCTGTGCTCTGAGTCTTTCAAAAGATGAAAAAATATGGTAAAATAGACTCTTTATTATAGTAGTGAYTTCAGAATAACCTATTTGTTTAGAAGAGGTTTATGTTTAGAATCKGCATGTAGAAAACTCGTAAGATTTRRCTAATCTATTCCCTTAYACCAAGTAATGCTTTTCTGGGAAAKGGYTRGCATGMTATTAAAAAGTTAATAAATAARTTAAGGGTTATTGCCATCCCATCATGAAGATGCATGAGAAACAAGCACAAGAACATTTCCTTATCTACTTATAAAATACATCCTTCCTTCTTGTTGCTTGGTAAACATTARATTGAGCAGCAATCCACAGATGAAGCCATGTTTTGACCTGGTAGTCTCAAAGAAAGCTGAGATGTGATTCTCTAAAACACTGTTTTAATGAATATATATGACACTTGAGTATCTTCTTGCAGTAAAGGATCACTTTTTCTGTGTGCTGCATTTGAAATAGCATCCTCATGCAGCAGCAGCAGCCACTGGAAAATACGCACATGCATGCCTGTTGTGTTATGTGTTGCTGAGATTCACAAAAACAAAAAAAAGGAAGTTGAATGCCAGACTAGTAGGATCAGAGCATGACTATTACAACTGTTTAATTGTTTGAATTTATAGGCTCCTTTTTMAGGAGGCTCCTTTTAAAAGGTGGGAATGGTGGATGTAAGAAGTATCCCTGTTCCCATGGGCTGTGTTCTGTCCCTGTGCTGCTCTTGTCCCTTTGGTCCTTCCTTGCAGGCCCAGGCAGTGATACCCTTTTTCTCTGTGCTGTTTTGTGTGCAGTCTCTGAAGCTGGGCAAGGTAAAGAACACTTTTTTGTTTTACAGCTTGCTGGTTAACTTTGCCCAAAAAGGGGAGGGAAGAGAATAATTATGCAGCAAAGCAGACTGTAGTGCTTAGGGCGCGAAACCGTCAACTGAGATCCCATCTGTGTGGGATACACAGTTAGTGATGAACACCTCAGTGTGCTTTSGTTCTTTTCTAGTCAGATTCACATTTAGGGCTTTTTGAAATTAAACCCCAAAAACTTAATTGTTTTTTTAAATACCAGTTTTGATTCCCGCACATTACATTYGAAGGTAGTGAACTCACAGATTTTTCTAGAATAATACTATTTATTCTGSTACATGCTAGGCAATTATTATTTGAAATAAAGGCGAGGGATTGAAGCTTTATGCCACAACACCATGGTGGGGTAGAAAAGTCTCAAGTGTGTGCTGCTTTACTGTGCTTAGCTCATGTCCGAGGCTTCTTGTGCCGAATGCTGCCCTGGTGCTCCTGCCCATCTCTGTGGCCGATGCCGCTCTCTAAGCGGCCAGCGGGGGCCGGGGCGGCACGGCCAGTGCCGGTGCCGCGGTACCGGGGGGTCTATCGCGACAGGGCCATGGGGGCTGGGGGCGGGTCCTCCCGCCGCCGGGGGCGCCGCGCCGAGCGGGCGGAGGGGCGGGAGGAGCCGCGGGCCCGCAGGGAGCGGCGGCGGCGGCGGCTCCTCCTCTCCAGCCATGGG